GATATTAATTTACTGAGTGGAAATATAAATACCATAAGAAAAACACAAACATTTATTAGTTAAGAGATTGGTCGAGAAGTAAATGCAGAGAAAACTAGGATGTGTTTATGTTTCATCAACAAAATGCAGGGCAAAACTTTGAAATAAAGATACCTTCTAAATACTTTGAAAATGTGGCAAAGTTTAGATAATTGAGAATGATCCTAACAACTCAAAATTGTATTCTCAAAGACGCACAAAGAAGATAGGAAGTGCATACAAAAGTTTGTTGTAAAACCAAAAGGAAAGACACCACTTGGGACCTAAGGGTAAGCGGGAGGATAATGTTGAAGTGGAAATTAAAAAAAAATGGTTTTGAGGATATGGACCAAGTTCATATGGCTCAGGAAGGCTGTTTTGAACATAGTGATGAATCTCTGGATTAAATGAAAGGTGGTCAATTTCTTGACTAGCTGAGCGATCATCAGCTTCTAAAGCAGGATTTTGTTTCATAGAGTTATTTATTAATTGTAGTAAGATAATGTTTGTCAGAAATAAAATTTATGGATTACTACAGTCTATTATTTGTGCTACTGAACTAATATCAGCTTTGGATTTAGTATTTGCAATAAATGAACATAAATTCTATGAGGGATGCAAAAGTATATATAATCCAGTGGATTATTCATTTCTACAGTCATTTTGAAGATACTGCCATATCATTTACCTGGAGCTTAGGATGACTGCATAAGGTTCAGTCAGGAAAACTTGCCTCAAGAGTCCAAAAAGTAGTTTGCATGTATGAAGGAAATGTGACTGCTTGTACACCATAATGTTTGGTTTGCATGTGAGATGCAATAAATTAATTAAAAGATTACATTAAAATGGAGCATGAATAAACACCCATAGTTATTTCAGTGTCATCACTTCCTGGCAGAGCTGTTGCACGATGAAGTATTCTATCAGAATGTATTATAATTATACATACAATTAAAGTCAAATACACTTTTATGAGGAGTTTTTTATAAAGTAAAAGAAGAACTTTGTGTTTTTGTTAATATATTTGTAGATTGTTTAAGGCTGTTAGTAATGCAGATTGTTTTGACATTGAATATTGGATGATAGTCAATAATGAATTGGAAAGAATGCAGAAGGAAGTGGTCATTGCCTAATTCAAGACACTATCTGTCATTTGTCTGGAAAGTCTGGTGAAACCATGAAAAATCTCAGAATATTCAGTTGCCCAGCCAAGGTTTTAATTTGGCACCTCCCTAATACAGGTCAGAAGCATTCCTGCTTGTGCCAACATTCTTAGTAATGCCTTATGTGTAGGTCATGTTTGTGACCTACTGTCAATGCTTAAACCACTGGAACTTTTCTTAATTTGGTATGGAGGACGCTTATTAAAAGTAGTTCAGTATATCCAGTTTTTGGCCACACTGATTGATAAATTGTATTTTACAGGAGACCATAAGTTAGATTTCTCAGATATATCATAAACCATTAATCAGAGTTTGGTGAAATTTTATATGACAGATCTTTACGTAGCAGTGTTTGGCCATTTTGATTTTTAGCCATATTGGCATGAGGTCATAAATTATTTCATATCTGTCATAAACAGTTTATCAAATTTGAGTGAAATTCAATGTTAGAGATATGTATATAATGTTAGTTTTCCCTTTTGATTTTAAACCGTATTGACTGATTACAGAAGGCCATAAATAGACGTAAGTATGTATCCCATAAACCCTTTCACAGGTTTTCTTGAAATTTGATATTGGAGATTTTAACTAAAATTTGTTGGGTAATTCAAATTTGAACCATATTAATCCATAACAAAGCCTACATTACATTAGACTGAAAATAGACTTTCTCATATACTCATATATTATAAACTGTTTGGGTGAAATTTGAAATGAGAGATATTTATGTAATGTTAGTCAGCAATTTCAAATTTTGGTTATATAGTGACATGGCAGCTGAGAGACCAGAATAGTAGAGCCAAAAGAGATGGTCGTTGCTGGGGTACTGCCAATAAACACATTTCCACCACAATGAACACGTGATGCCACAACAGGGAACTGTTGAAAACGATTTTTCATATTGGATTTTCCCCAAAGCTATGTGGCAAGCACAAATTGGACAACTTAGTCAAGAGTCATGGACTAGGAGTGAGACAGTCACCAGTCAGTAAGGACATGAGCAGAAGAGGACATTGCTGGGATTTATTACCATACAGCCACTAGTGAAAACAAACTGAGGAGATTTAGTGTGTGCTGTATTGAATTGTAAAATATGTGAGTTAGCAGTAGCTCCAGAATTCTTTGTAGCTACGAGTTCTAAGTGTTCACTAAATCCAATTACCAATCCAAACCCCATGTCTAATCACTTAAAATCATGGCCATATTTACAGATTACAAAGCATACCACACATAAGGCCAGTAATGGACTTCTCCATAGATCCCATGAACCATCTACATAGACTTTGTTAAAAGTCAAAATTCATTATTATTCTGTTGAATTATGAAGTTTGCTTGTTTTATCTAGTATATTCTGTATTTGGTGAAATATGATTTGTAAAGCAGCAGCAAGTAAACTTAGTAAGCTGTGAAATGCACTTCTGGGAAATTTGTATGCTACATTATGGATTACACACTTTTCAATCTTGTTTAAGCATACTACATGACAAGTGTTATTTTGCATTATTTTGTAATCCCATTAATATGTCTAAATTACAGAGTGACATTTCTCTTTTGAAACCAGATTACTTTGTAATTTTAGCACTACATAAGATGGGATATTTTTCCTCCATGAAAATACTGGATTTTAGAAAATTTAAAATGGGATCTTGAAACATAATTTGTATTGACTTTGATGACTTCAGTAAAACAGACCACAGTAATATGAAGCTTATACAGTGGGGAAGTATGAGTATAATATTTCTATAGACTGCTCTCCACCATTTTATTTTAATAATTCTCTTATATCTCTTTGAATTCATGCTTGATGAAATATGTTAGTAGGCCATAACTTTATCTTCTGTTCTCATTTTCTCCATTTCCTTCCCAGAAAATGCTTGGATAATGCACTAAAATTAGGCATGACCACATTCTTTTCAATTCATTATTCACAATCATCCTCTCACTTGACACCCTTATGAGCTCTACAGTAGTGAAGGCATTGTTGAATAAAATTAAAAACAAATAAATGTTAGCCACAGAACAGGTGAGAATAATGAAGAAAGCAAACTGGCTGGGTAGCAACCCTATCTACTATACATAAAAAGCTGTTTTCTGCTGATTGACTGTGGGTGTGTTCCATGCAGCTAGAGGATGTGATAGTGATAATGATTTACAAAGCTATCAGCTTGATATGGAATGTGATAATAGTGAAGTGCAAACAGTAAGTGATAAAGACGTCATAGCAATATTTCTAGATAAATTTCTGAAGGTGTCAAAAGTGTTTTATTTTATTGAGAAAGTGGTGTCATATATGCTGTCTCATTTAATTCTGTGAATGGTGTTTCTTTCCAAGTGGAAATAATTGCAATGTTTTGTCTTAAACCAATTTAAAACTGAGAATAAGATAAAATTCCACAAAATGTCTCAGGCAATAGTTTCAGTAAGTACTCAATATCATGTTTTATGTGTGTTGTTATATCTAGCATTAATGTTACCAGGGCAGAAAGTGCAGAAAACATGGTTTGAGAAAGAGGTTACAGTGTTAAATTATGATTGTGAAATATGTTGTTCTTTTCTTAGTTTATTTGTTGACACCGTACCTACTGCAGAGGTTATATAGATGTGAAAAGACATGGACATAGTTAATTTTTAGGTACCATTTTGATAGTTTCCTTGCAAGATGAAGTTAAAGGTATAGTTGCCCTTGTGCTGAATGAAGAACCATGCCATGAAGATAAGGGGAGTGGAGATACAGCTTGTCACAGTCCTAACTTTTGCACTAGATGGAAAAATTGGGTGAAATTGCAGAACTTTAATTTAAAATACCTGGTCTTCAGACAAGGCTGAAACCAAGAAACTACCACATTCACATTTTAGTGTTAACTATTATGCCACAATGTTTGGTTTGGTTTTATGAAGTTGGTATCATTGGTTTATCTAACAATGCTTTATTTATTTCATATCATCAGACAACAGGATTATTGAGGATTATTTCAAAGGATGTGAAGTAAAGTAGTTGTAGCCTATTTCAAGATATAATCCATGCAGGAACTGAATAAAACCACAACAGATCTCCAGTATCTAGATTCTGATTGAAACCTGAGACATTTTGAACAGGAAGCAGAGTGTTTATCACTCTGCTGTAATGTTCACTGGTATCATCGGTGTCTGTTTTCTATTGTTACTGTACCTGTACATATTTTATTTTTTGTTTCTTATTGTAAGAGAGAAGTTTTCAAACTACTATAGTCAGTGTATTTTTCAAACAGTGCTTATCGACAGACTTGTCAAAATGCAAACATCTTCTTGTCATTGTGTTTTGACCTAAAACCAAGCATAATATTACTGTCAGGCATGTTTTGGGAGGAAAACACTATCAGTAACAGTACAGTTCAGTAATTATTTGCACTGTTTATGCCATAAAATCATAATTTGGCTGTGTGAAATGGTGAGTGTAGACATGCAAATTGCGGGCAGTACTAACTCTCAAGAGTAGTCTGTATCATTAGCTATCATGTAGATGAGAGATGCTTGTTTAGAAGAATGTCTTGAAATATTTTTGTATTTTATTAGTAGATGTTATAATTGGACTGTAAGTAAGCTAAATGAAGCTCCTAGTAATTAATAAAGATATTTAACAAATAATTGTGTGTGATAATTATTCAGTACTACTACCAAGTCTGATATACCCTATCATGTACCCAAGACCCTCCACATGTATATTCAATAGCTATAGCAAGATATACCNACGTGTCATTACATTACTTTACATGCACCCACACTCAGCACTCATGGATGATGCTTAACTTTTGTCTTAAACTAATTCTTTTCCTTTTACAGGGAGGTTATGTCTGGCTGAATGTAAATAGCAATGATGAATTTGATGTTCCAATTGGAGTCAAAATACTTGCCACACAGGGCAAAAGTATTAGAATCCAGGATGATAGTGGTGAGGTATGTGTGTTATATACTGTTAATAAAAGGTATTACAGAATTGATTTCAAGACAATGGAGTGCTAGTTCCAATCATGGACTGTGGGCTGGTGTATAGATGGGTTAGTCTGAATCTTACGTCATATCAAGTCTTGATGATGAGGACAGAGATGGCCCCTGAAACTTCAGTAAAATTTAACCGACTAACACAGTCTATAGTCAAAGAAGATTTTATTAACTTTAGCCACCATGAAAGCTTCAGATCTTACAAAATCAGTTATGTATGAACATCACTAATGCATGTACAAACAACATATATAAATATGTATCATCATCATCATCAGTAATCTGTCAGACGACAGGTCCACAGTCTCTTCCAAAACAGTTTCTCCACTTAATGCGATCTTCTGTTTTTGGAAAGAGACTATCCAGGAAAAGTGATAATGTGGTAGTTTTTCCATTTGCTTTCCACATCGCAGTACAACAGCCGTTCAAACCACTCTGGTCATGCCTGTTGCTATACGAACTTGAACCATCTCGAGCATCATTTTCTCTGTGCTTCAAGTCGCCGCTGATGACGCTGCTTCCGGCATCAGTTTTCGGTGTCTCTCTTCGTCTGATGCCTACCCTTTGACCTGTCCAGCAAGGGAGGCCCTGCCCGTAGCTACGCTACCGCTGGTATAGCTCTCAGGGTCCTTGGCATACTCAAACCCCCTCACCACGATAAGGTGGAGACACGGGGGGGGGGAAATGTATAGTGGTGTAAAATACTCTAGTACTTTTAATTTGTTGTTAGTAATTGTAATAAAATTACAGTAATAATACAAGTAACATTCACAGCATTTGCTTCTGTAATGTTACATGTTAACAAAACAAGGTTAACATTTTAATTAGACCAGTGTGGAACTATAAACAATTTTAGATAAAATTGCTACAAAACAAAACCTTGGAAATATTTGTTGCTTCCAACAGTACAATAATATTTAACATTTTGATCAAACCAGATCCACAACCAAATCTTATATAACACATCTAGGAAATAACATCATGCAAACAATTGTAGCTTTCAGATTTATGCACAGTGAGACAGGTTTGATATAGTATGCATGAAGGTAATAAGAAATGTGTGCAGTATTTTTGTGAGAAAAGTGGAAGGGAAGAGACCACCTGGTATACCTAGATTTAAATGAGAGGTTGGTATTAAAATAGATTGTAAAAGAAATAGAAGTAAGTGGACTGGATTCATCTCACTCAGAATAGGATGTGGTGGTGGGTTTTTGTGAACATGGTACAAAACCTTCATGTTTCATAGAAGGTGAGACTTTTATTAATTGGTGCACTTCAGAACACAAGCTAGTACCCCATTACAAAATTACAGTGTCCACAACTGATATTCTACTTTGATGATTTTTTGTTGTAGGAAACGACGGTTGCAGCAGACCTAGTGCTGAAACCAATGCATACAACAAGCATACGTGGTGTAGAAGACATGATTATGTTGGCTGATTTGCAGGAATATACCATTCTCAGAAATCTTCACTATCGTTACAACCAAGGCTTGATTTATGTATGTGACAACGTTTCTTGTATAAACCAAGTTAGTGGGTAAAAAACTGTGTCCTGTGAAATACCGGAATTAAGATATTTTCATGAAGTCACTACCTGAAAGCAGTTTTTTGTTAACACATACATTCAGCAACTGTTACTGCCTGCAGAAAATTACAGACATCCTAAATCAGTGTTTCTCAACCACTGGGCCGCAGCCTGATACTGGTCCCTGGCATCAATTATACTGGGCCCTCATCTTATAAAAACAGAATTTACTGGGCCGCGGTCTCACAAAGGTTGATAACCACTGTCCAAAGTACCTGAAAGGTAGCTGAAACACATTGCACAGAGTTGGCACCCTAATGAATCTTAGTCACGCTGTCTTATATATGGATTGTCTGTTTATGAAGTACTGCCATGGTGGATTATTGTCTACTGGACTAAATCTAACTTCAGTCTTGCATGAATGTGAGACTTTGGAATTCAGCATTATATTTTCTCTTTAAGTTATGTCCAATACAAGAATTGAGACCTCCTATTTTACGCCTTTATTTTTTGTTGTTGAAAGGTTTCTTTTATATTTTAGTTTAATTTTTATATAGTATGTTGCTTCTTCTTTCTTGGTACGCTGTTGTTCCCATATTTTTTAGCCACTTGTTTTATGTCTGCTTCATTCTCATATGTAAATATTGTCTCTAAATTTCACAGTGTAGTCATTACCACTCCCACTTTATATTCAGGAACTTCCCATATTTTTTAGCCACTTGTTTTACGTCTGCTTCATTCTCATATGTAAATATTGTCTCTCTAAATGTCAACGCGTAGTCATTACCACTCCCACTTTATATTCAGGAACTTCCACGTGTTGGAGTGCTACCTTAGTGTACAATTTGTTATTCTATGCTGCAGCATTTGTTGTTTTATATGTTTAAGTGCCCTTCCAAATAAAACCAAGACTCACCTGTTTTATAAAGCTATAATTTCAGTAATTGTTTATCATTGTCACATTCTCTGTATGTCCTCTCATTTATCATTCAAGGTGTTCAAAAGGTTCACAAGATGATTGTTTAAGCCAAACTCTAATATTATTTAACTTTTCTTGTGTCCATACTAGACTTTGAAATTTCAGATTCTTGTCTGTTGACATGTCGCTTGTTCTTATATTTTTGCTGACAAGATTCTGAATATTATTTCTGTTTGGTATTCAACCCCAGAAAACTGTCTTCAAAATTTTTCTTACACTTTGTTTAAAATTTATGTGTAACACTGGATGATCCGCTATAAATTCATATATATGCAACACAAAGAGAATCTTGGCCAGCTTGATCCCACATCAAAATATTTTTCAGACTACATGCTTTTATTTGAATTGACATATGAACACACAGTACAACAGAAACTGGAGCATAGAAAATCCACAACTTATACATTTTGTGAAAGTTGGTGTTTGGTGTTTGTGATGAGGATTATGGGGCTTGTGTTTTTTGTTATATACAGCTCAATCTGAGATTGTGTGATTCAGATACTGCAAGTGGGCCAGTAGCCTGCACTTTATAATGTTGCTACAATCTCATTATCTTCACAGCTGTGCCATGTACAACTGCCAAATAACCTCCCTGTGTAACTCAGTGACTGTAAACACTTAAGAACATCTTGAGTTTGTATGTGAATAGATTCAAATATGTACAAAGGGCTCTTGCCCTAGGATGAAGTGACCAGAGTATTAAGCTAACCATTCACCTCCATTTAGTGCCAAGGCTAAGAGCGAATGGAGCTATATCTCTATTCCCACATATCTTTCACTGGATGCTTAGACACAAGGATAACTACCTTTACATGTACAATAGACTTTTTCATCTAAGTAAATTGAATGGGACATTTAGTTGAAATTTAATGTCATAGAATTGCAATCTCCTTGAGGTAGGATATTTATGTGTTTGTAAAGTGTAGGAGGAAATGGAATAATTTCCTCCAACCTCTTTAAAAGTGAAATGTTTTTCTTTTTTTTAGTTTTATTCAACATAATCGAACCCTTAAAATTTAAAAGACAGTAGATTTGTACACTTACTACCTGCTTACTCACTCACTCACTTGTAGCAGTGTACTTGCATGCAAGTGGAAACAAAGTGGAAGGCAAATGATATCCTTTCCATACATAAATGATATCAAAAGCATGTGCATGGAAGTCACATGTTGTACTGATTTAAAAACAATATTCTGGAACAAAGTGCCTCTTTAATCAAACAGATTCCTCACCGTACACACTTCAGCCTGGAAGATACGGGCAACATGTTTCTTTGAAATGTCAGTATCCCCCTACAAGACTACTCTCTGTCACTCCCCAGAAGACCACAGCCTGAACAATCACATTCTTGAAACTTCAGAAATTTTATGATATAATAACTGGCTTCATATGTGTATAATGTGGATTCATATTAGATGTTTGAAGACAAGCTGACTTTTGCAGGAGTGCCAATTGCATACAGTATATTAACAGTAGAAATTAACAGTAATTTTATGATTTCAGACATACACAGGGTCAATCCTAGTGGCTGTTAACCCATACCAAGTTCTACCCATCTACACAAGCAAAGAGGTTGCATTGTACAAGGACCACAAGTTGGGAGAGCTTCCTCCTCACATTTTTGCTATTGGAGACAACAGCTTCTCTGACATGAGAAGATTCCAACAGAACCAGTGTGTTGTGATAAGGTGTGTGTTTTAATTAGGATAAAATTAACCAGTAAGAAAAACCAACTGATTACTTGGAGCAGAGTCCTTCTTAAGAAGTTGTTAATCCCTTAGCTAGTTAAGAAATTATCTGCTTTTTGTGTGGAACCTGTTTTACTTTTTTTACAAGATCCCACCACTGGCCCTTATCCCAATACTCACATTGCATTTGTTCAAAATCAGTATTAATATTATTCCACTGTTCTTGTCTAGGTCTCATATCTTCTCATCAGGTCTTCTGACTACAGTTCTTTATGCAGTGTATGTCTTCTCCATGTGTGCTAGTATCCCTCCTATCCTATCATCTTTAATTTTATCACCCTCATACATGTAATATCTGGTGTGGAGTACAAATCATGAAGCTTCTCATTACATAATTTTCCCCACCCTCCTGTTACTTCCACTCTTAAAATTTAACTTCATTCAGCTGTTAGCTGCCAGGTAAGAGAAAACTTTCTTTCTCTTGGGCCCAAATATTGCTCTCAGTTATTTGTTTTCAAAAGCCCTCAAATTGTGTCCTTCCTTTAGTGTGAGGGACCTAGTTTCATGCTCACAAGAACGACGTTTATATTCATATTCATATTCATATTTATTTCAAGTTCAGTTGATCCATACATGAGTTGAAAGTACAAACTGTTGGATATAGAACGTGTCACAAAGTAAATACTAGTCTAAGTTCCCAATCATTGGANCAAAATATTTTAACTTTGCCACATTTTGAATGATTTATTAAAACATATATATATAAATATGAAATTCTTAAATGAATTATTTTGAATTTACTTGAATCTTTAGGACAGAACAAAATACTTATTTAGGAATTACTTTTCTTTGAGTGTTTTGACATTTCCTAGACTCTAAAATTTGTTAACAGACAATTATACTTTATTTACCTTCTGTTGGATGCCTAGAAAGAATAATAACCCTGGAGTACACTAAATGTTGTATGGTATGATTATCATTAAATAATGTATTTATAAATTTGTGCTTGAGGAATTATTGAACATGAGACAATATAATTTGTTATATGGATTAAACACGAAAGTATATTTTTTATATTGGAGAAGCATGTGCTGCAATAACAATGAGATTTATTGTAACAATTTTTAATTCACAGAAAAATGTTTTCCTCAAGCAGACATCAGTACAAATATAATTTTTAGCAACATTTATTGAATCACAGTGACAGATCTGAGATTTGAGTTTTCTATGGTAGTGAATGTGAACGTTAGTCTTCTGGGATGTGATGCCATGTAGGTGGATAGGTAGGCACATTCACAGTGATTGTTTCACTGTTAATTTTAGCTTTAATTGCATTAAAGTGGGTTGAGATGGCTCAGAAAAGGGTCCTGTGGCAGGCTTGTTTATACGAGGGTCACTCCAAAAGTAATGCACAACATTTTTTTAAAAAATAAATTTTTATTCTAGACATTTACTACTTATACAGTATGTTGATACATCCCCTTTAGGAACAAAATATCACTTCTCCACATAATCTCCGACCCTTTCAACTGCCTTACGCCACCTTTGAACTAGGGCATGTATGCCAGCACGGTAAAACTCTGGACCAGCACATCTGAGCAATCGTGAAATAGCCGTAATGAGGGCATCATCTTCAGATCTTGTTCTGCGAAGGGATTCCTTCAGTTTACCAAAGAGATGGTAAACAGAGGGTGCCATATCAGGGCAATGTTGTCCATCCAAGTTTTGTGACCTCGTCCTTGGTTTTCTGAATGACGTGTGGTTGGGCATTGTTATGCAACAGCAAAACATCCTCTTGCTGCCGATGCAGTTGAGCACAACTTAGTTGAGCTTGAAATTTCTTTAGGGTTGCCACATATGTGTCAGAATTAATAGTGGTTCCTTGTGGCATGATATCCACAAGCAAAAGCCCTTCTCAATAAAAAAACTTGTAGACATAACTTTTCCTGCTGAAGGTGCAGATTTGAATTTCTTTTTTTGGGCGAGTTCGCATGGTGCCATTCCACTGATTGCCGCTTCTTTGTAGTTCAAAAGGTGCAGCCATGTTTCATCTTCTGTCACAATTCTTGCAAGAAAGTCATATTCACCATTCTCATACCGTGCCAAGAGTTTACAGCACACAGTTTTTCGGGTTTCTTTGTGGACATCTGTCAACACCCTTGGAACCCACCTTGCACAAACTTTATTCAACCCCAACTCTTTCAATATTTTGCACTCCCAGTTGGACTGACATTTCTTTCAGTCACATGTCTGTCCTCCAAAACCATATTGTTAACATGCTGCACATTGTCAGGTGTTTGTGCAGTGTGCGGTCTGCCAGTGTGAGGAGAATCCCAAATATTGGCATGCCCGCTTTCACCAGATAATCTGCGTGCCCACTGACTAACTGTGTGGTGATCGACAGCGTAATCTCCATACACATTTTTCAATCTCTTATGAATGTTTCTCACTGTCTCATTCTTGCAACACAGCACGTTGCTTTTGATGAACATCATGCACAGCAGCCACTTTGAAGGAGTGCTATGACAGTGCTACTTGTGGGAATGGGTTGAATTAAAATTGAATACAAAGGGGAAGGATCCTTATATGCACCCTACAAATATCAAAACTGTAGAATAAAACTGAATTTTTAAAAAAATGTTGTGCAGTACTTTTGGAGTGACATACGTGCTAATGTACATATTGTTTGCTATGCAAATTAGAACATGTAGAGATTTCATCATGTGGTGGTCATTATAGAGTACTAAGTTTTGCAGTCCTTGATTATGCATCACTTAGGAGTTTATTGTTTCCTTAGAGTAAATCTGAAGTTTGCCATTTTATTTCTGAGTGTAAGTCAATGTGATCATCTGACCGCTGTGATAGTGTATGGCCTTTCCACTTTGAGCAGTCACTGCAGTCAGTTTCCACCTTTCCTACACAGCCAATAATGACAGTAATGAGACTGCAGCAACATCACAGAGTGAAGGTTAATCAGATGAAATTCCAACACATTATATTCCTTTGCAATATTCATGTGTGATTCAATGTTGTGCAAGATTTTTTTTGTATAGATCATGGATAAGGTTGCACTAGATTGTCAGATGTTTTTACTAAAATATTATCTGAAGTGTTAATTAGTTCTACAGTCTAATGTGCAAAAATGTATTAAAACTTATTAAAAGCTAGTCACTTTAAAAGTTTTTTATGACATGTTTCAACCAAAGTGGTCATCATGAGGTGTTAACAGTTGTGACTGAGGAAACTGTGGTTTTTCTGCATTGATGCTTAGTTTTAATGTATGATGTATGTGTGTATTCCTTCTTGCTGTATTATGTTCCGTGTCTAGCTTTTAATAAGTTTTAGTAAATTTTCGCTTGTAAGATTGTAGAACTAATTAACACTAAGTGAAAAGTGCAACAGGATGCTACAGTATAATATTACTTATCTGAAGTGTAAGAGCAGTAGAAGGAGTGAGAGGAAATTCAGAAAAAAAGTGTCCTGGAGTTAAAATTGCCCACAGAACAAATACTCAATCTTGTCAATTAAATAAGAACTACAGGTGTATTAATTGACAGGAAATAAAACTGTCATTGTTATCTATTAACAAACGGGAGATTGGACTATGTCAGAACTGAGCTTGAACATTCACCAAGTAAGCCTCTTAAATGATTTTTACAAGAAACTGGACTATCAGAAGGGACTGTGAGTACCACTACAAGTTTGTTGAAACTGTGGCCTTGCAATACCATTGTTGCACTCTTTGCAGTCAGTCCAGCAACCAGACTTAAATTGTGTAACTGGTGTCACCTGTCAGTCCACATTGATAAACACTGGTCCTGCATTAAAAATTTTCAGTTGAGGCTTGGCTATATTTGAGTGAATACGTGAACACAAAGTAACAGTAACAGTAACATGCAGTTACACTCCAGGTTTGTGTTCCCTCAATCAGTATGAGGAGAACTTATGGTCATTTATATTAAAGAAAAGCATTAGTTCTGAGAGATACATATTCAGATACTGCAGCGGTTTTTCAGACAATTGATGGAAACAACAACAACAACAGCAGCAGAACTTTTCCAACAGAATTTTGCAGCTTCCCATTCCAGTGAGCATTTCATGCAGGCTTTAAAAACAGAGTATTTAGTGGAAGGAATATAGGTAGTAGTTTATGGCCACCTCATTCTCTTGACATGTGTAATTTCTTCTTGTGGGGTATTTAGAGGATATAGCCCTATAAAGCCAGTCTGTACATCTTCATCATCATCAGTAATCTGTCAAGACGACAGGTCCACAGTCTCTTCCAAAACAATTCCTCCACTTAATGCGATCTAGAGCTTTCTCCTTCAAATGACAGTATCCTCTTCTGTCCCCAAGGTCATCCAGCATCTTCTTACGTCTTCTTGCTCGTCTTCTTGTC